CTGCAGTGAAGGAGCAGACAAGATGTTCTGGAATGTCGGGGATCAGGCATTACGGGGGATATACACATTGGCGTGGTCATGGCAGAAAATGCACCGCTCACTAGGCTGGTGCCACCTGAACTACTGAAGGAGTACTTGCGGAACTCCCTGGTTCCTTAGGCATCAGACTTCCTTGTGGGAGACCTCTCAGCCAGTCCAGGCTGATGATCTCTTTCTATCAGACGAGGCAGCTTCTACTTAGTTCTTATAAGGCAGCTCTGGACAAGCATCAGCCCCTGCTTGCCTCCTCCCTGTGACCACACTTCAGATCCCTGGAGGCTGTTGCTGGTTTTTCTCCCATCAAAATGGTGGCCACTCAACAAGGCCAATGGGTCTGGCTGCAGGCTCTCGCTTCTCAATCAACTTACCAAGGGGCTTACCAATATTACAAATTCTCAGTTTCCACCTCCCCAAATCCTGATTAATTATGCCTCTGGTGGAACCATGGACCGTGTCTCTTTTTACAGAACAACTGGGAGATTCCAACTTAGGTGTTCTACACTTTAAAAAAAAACACTGACTTAAGGATCAGCCGACTCAGCATTCTAACTTCTTTCTTTTAAGTCATTTCAGGGTAAAATCCACAGCAGAAAATGAGGTTACCCCCTACCTAAGGTGGTATTTTTTTTTCCTTTTTATGGAGAGGATTTTTGTGGGGTCAAAAATGAAGATTAATACTGGATTAAGTTCTTTAGTAAGATCATTCTATTGACCCACAGATTTTAATTTTCCTCCCTCAAGGGCACAGATCCTATAGGGGTAACAGCAATCTCCACAGTAAGAACTGAGGAAGCTTTTTAGATTCATAGAGCATTTTCTAAGAAGTCATCTCATTTGGTAGCAGCGCCAACCTGAGCCATCCTAGGACATTCAAATACAGAAGTCATCTCTTTCATGTCTCCTCCCACCTTCTGATCCCAAAGAGCCACTAAAACCAGCTGATGAGCAGATGGCATCAAGAATTCACCTAAGGGACTTCCCTGGTGGCACAGTTGATGGGAATCCGCCTGCCAATGCAGGGGACCCAGGTTAGTCCTTGCTCTGGGAAGGTTCCACATGCCGCAGAGTAACTAAGCCACAGCTACTGAAGCCCGCACACCTAGAGCCTGTGTTTCACGAGAGAAGCCACTGCAGTGAGAAGCCTGCACACCGCAAGGAAGAGCAACCCTGCTTACCACAACTACAGAAAGTCCACGTGCAGCAACGAAGACCCGGCACAACCAAAAATACATAAATAAAATTTTTAAAAATAAAATTTTAATCTTTTTAAATAAAAACTAAACAATTCACCCAGAATTGTAATGATTCAGGATTTAGCCATTGCTACACAAAGCCAAGTAGAAAAGCTCAATTCTGGTCAAAGTGAACTGTTTTCATGAAGATGGTGGTGGTCATACAGCACCTAAAAACTTTAATTGTGCACATAAAATTTACCATCTTAACCATTTTTAAGTGCACAGTTGAGTGGCATTAACTACATTCCACATTGTATAACCATGACTATCATCCACAGATGATAGTGGATTTTTTTCTTCATCCTCAGCAGAAACTTTGTACTTGTTAAGCAATAACTTCCCAATCCCTGTCCCCCACAGTACCTGGAAACCACCATTCAGCTTTTGGTCTCTATGAATCTGACTACTCTAGAGATCTCATACAAGTAGAATCATATAGTATCTGTCATTTTGTGACTGGCTTATTTCACTTATATTGTAGGGTCTTCAAGGTTCACCTGTATTATAGCATCTGTTAGAATTACCTTCCTTTTTAAGGCTGAACAGTATTCCTTTGTATGTTTACATCATGGACACTTAGGCTGCTTCCACCTTCTGGCTATAGTGAGTCATGCTCTGGTGAACATGGGTGGACAAATATCTCCTTAAGATCCCACTTTCAATTCTTTGGGGTATATACCCAGCAGTGGACTTGCTGGATCATACAGTAATTCTATGCTTGATGCTTTAAGGAACTGCCATATGATTTTCCACAGCAGCTGCACATTCCCACCAACAGTGCACAGCGTTCCAATGTCTCCACATTCCTGCCAGCATTTGTTTTCCGTTTACACAGTACTTTACAGCTTACAAATTGTTACTGGCTCCACGTGACAGATGTTTTCTAAAGGCTGAGGGAGGTGCAGTAACTTGCCCAGGATCACAGAGTGAGAAGCCAGGCCGGAGCCTCCTAACTCCTGGTGCCATACTGTCCCCTTGCCACATGGCAGCACATAAGCACCGGTTCTAAACTCAACCTTACTCTTTCCAGATGGGGGTTCTGCCCCCGATCTACAGAACTCTCACCACTCAACTCATTTGTCCATTCAGTGAACATTCACTGAGCATCTACGAGGAGCCAGGCCCTGCCCCAGGCCCCCTCAACAGCCCATATAAATAGACCTGGATCCACCCACAAAACCCCCTCAGGAGCCAAGACTGCCCAACAAAGGAATTCTACCCCACAGGGCCTGGCAGCTGCGATAACATTGTTCCTGGCTTATCAGCAGGCTGGTACTTGGAGACCAGCGGTGCCCATGACAGGAATTGAGGATGGAGTGGAAGAGAATGGTCTTGACACAAATAAGAAACTGGCCCCAAGTGGGAGGTTCCTGGAACACTGCACCCAAGTACCTTCCCCTCCCTGGGAGCCAGGGAAACCGGCACATCCCTTCAGGCCAAATTATGGGCTCCTAACTGCAGTGACAGAAAAGGGACTGGGGTCTTTCAAAGCCTCCTAAATGCCAAGGATGAAGAGAGGTGCTTTCACAGGTGCTTTCCCACCTAAATCCTTCAGCAACCCCATAAGGTAGACATTGTTCTCTTTACAGATGGAGAAGCAGGGGCTTCAGAGAGGGTAAGTGACTTACCCAAAGTCACGCAAGCTCAAGTATAGCAGAGGCAGGATTTGAACAAGACCTGTTGGCACCAAAGTCCTAATGTAGACCACCAACAATCCTGTGCATTACTATGTGTCATTATAAGAATCTGGGGGAAGAGAGAGTGATGTGATTTTCTGACCTGGCTACAAAATGGCTCCATCCTCATAAACCTGGCTACACAATCAACCAAACAGGAAAATCATGAAGAAAGTTGTGAAACTCTGATGCTGGCAATTCCCTGGCCTTCGGAAGGTCACTCTTCAATCTTCCCTATTCTCCCGGAGTGATGATAATCTGAACCTCTGTCTCCTTGACAATAGAAAAGCCACACTTCAACAGATGTCCTTCCCAGGTCTTCCTGGAAGTTCCCAAGGATCACCCTCATCTCACTAGTCCATGCAGGGTGTGCAGCCACTTGGCACTCTGGCCGGATGCCCTTGGCTCCTCCCTTTAATCTCCTCTGGGTCTCTGCTCCCCATCCCTCCCCATCCCCTTGACTTCAGCGAGGCCCCTCTTTTAAGTCTTTAGAACCAGGCTATCTCACTTTACAAAATTCAGCTGCAAAAACTATGGAACACAATGGAAAACTTAACCTGGAAACTGGTCATATCACAGCTGCTGGGTTCCCTCAGTCCTGACTCTCCAGGGAACCCCAAACTCACCAACTCCTGTAATAGACCCTAGCCTGCCACTGTCTTACAAGGGCCTGGCCACAGCCCCCAGTCAGGGGTTTCAGTGGGCAGGCACTAGGCTGCATCCTCAGCTCCCTTCAGACTCACTCCCTGGCCCGGGAGCAGCCCTGCTCAAGGCCCAGAGGGGGTCCCTTATGAAAAGGCCCTAGGCAGAAGGGAGCTGCCCAGCCCCAGGGCATGCCTCATCCTCCAGAGAGGCCCACGTCCAGGGACCGGTCCATGCAAAGTCTCCTTGCCTGAACTTGGGTCAACTCTGAAGGGCCACCTGGCTCCCCACAAAATCCAGAGGCCTTTGCTGTGACTGCCCTGCAGCTCAAGTTCCCTCCCTGCGGGCCTGCACCTCTGTTCCCTCACAGGACGGGGTCCAAGACATCCCCACCCCATTGCCTTCCTGTTTGTAGATTCCTCCTCAGGCTTCCTCCCAGGAAACCGGCCCAAAGCGGGCTCCACACCACGTCCTGCCCATCAAGGCCCCCAGCCCCTGCGGTCCCTGGAGATAGAGGCCACACCCCTCTCCTCACTCTCACTTCCTGGGGGTGCCGAGGTGGGGATGGGGCCTCCTCACCCCCGACTCTAAACCTAGAGGCCTGGACTCAACTTGTGTCCATCCGTGCTCACTCCTGGGTGAATTCACACCGCTTCCTGACCACTAACCATCTCCAAAAGTGCTCCCTTCCTCTGAGCTCCAGGCTCCTCTCCAGGATCTCCATTCGGCTCTAACACTCTCAAACTGATCCCTTGACTTCTGTGCCCCTGACCTCCAACTCCCCTCGTCTCCCCATATCCGCGTGCAGGTCAGCACATCACATCCACTGTCTGGGTCACGTCACGGTCTGATCCCTTGCTCCCACTGTATCTGAGCCCCCACCCTCTTTCCCCTGGGTCATCGCAGGAGCATCTCCCTGGTCTTCCTGCTGCTCCCCTCACTCCCCAAGAGCCTGTGTTCCACAGAACCCTCAGACTGATCCTTCTATAAGTGCATGTCCCACAGCGGCCCTCCTCTGTTCAACAGCCCCCTGCCTGCCATCTCACAGGTCCTGAAAGTCAAGCCTCTGCACAGTCTGTGAGGAGCACCCTGCACTCCTGCTATCCTCCTGCCCTGGTCCCCACTATTCCCCATTCCAGCACCCTCATTACTCTAAAGCCACACCAAGCATACTCCTACCTCAGGACCCTTGCACTGGCTGTGCCCTCTGCCTGGAATTCCAGACCACACAACTCATTCCCTCCCCTCTTTTAGGCCTTTGCTCAAATGTCACCTTCCCAATGAGGCCATCCCTGACCCACTCCCTAAAACTGGACACCCCCATACCAACTCCACCAACTCTCCAGCTACACAGTCCTACTTCCTGCTCTTGTCTTTCTTCACAGCACTTATCACAACCCAACACTTCAACTATCTTACTGTTTTATTTAATATCTCACCACCCTATAATCAGGATATAAGACCCCTCCGGGCATATTTTTGTCTGTTTCGTTCCCTGATGCATGCCGAGCACCCTGAACAGGGCCTGGCAAGTAGCAGGTGCTCCATAAATATGTGATGAATGAATGAATGCACAGTCAACATTATCGTGCCATGATTTCATCAGCCCATTGTTCTGCACTTCTGATATTATTCAGATGAGTTTTTTTCATCTATGGAACAAAAGAAAGAAAAGAGAAGAGAAAAAGAAAGAAAAGAAAGAGATGAGACTATTAGTAATTTTTTAAGTATCAGATTGTAGACTTTCACACTTTGAAAAACAGGAACCCAGTCTCAGAATGTCTCTTTACAAGGACAGCAGGAGGAAATTCACTGTGCCCTAAGGGGTAAATGCTCAGCTAAGGATGCTTCCCCAGGAGCTGGGAATAAGGAAAGCCCTGTCCCCACAGCGTCGTAACACTGACGGTAACAGCTCAAGATCCATCCCATGGCTGCAAAGCACATTTCTCCTGGGGCTCTTCGGTAGGTCCAAGAAGATACGCTGCCTGCATGCTTCCCACCCCAGCAGCTAGAACCGGTTTCTGTGGCCTGGCTGCCAGCCCCTCTGGGTGAAAACCTGGGGGAGCTTTTCCTCCCCAGGTCCCGGCACACAAGGAGGACGGAGCGATCTGTTCCCAGCAGAAGTCCTAGAGGCTAGTCTCCTAATGCTTAAGGCTGCTGCCAGCCATTTCCTCCCTCTTCTCTTCCACCTATGCCATCCATTTGTCTCCACAACCAATTTGGAATTTTAAAATTCTATTCGATCACTTACATTTTCAAACACAAATTCAATTTGCTCTGTGAGGCTGAGGGACAGCCCTGCCCTAGCCCCTGGGACCACAGAGGGGGCTTCCATCATCAAGGCTCCAAGGTCCAACCTGTCACTCCTTCCACAGCCCCAGTGGGAGGAGGGCAGCTGGTAGGGGTCATCACTGCTGGGGGTGAACACGCTGGCATCTCAGAAATCCTCTGGTCCTACCTCCCCACCATACACGTGGGGAAACTGAGGCCAAGGGAAGGGAAGTGTCTTGCCCAGGGTCACGTGGCAGGAAGAGGCAAGCTGGCACCCAGGATCTCTTCCATGACAGATACGCCCTCACATTTTGCCCTGAGGTCCCCAGACATAAAGTGGCTTCTTCGGGCCAGGCAGGGAGCCGGGAGTAGTATGAGGCATAGGAATTGGGGGAGATGGGAGCAGAGTGTGGCACAGGGATCAGGTACTTTTCACTCATCATTAATGATAAGCTCTGACCCTGGCAGAGACCTCTGCAGGTGCCAGAGCCATAAGTAACAGCAGACACACCAAGGTGCCTCCCTCAAAGCCAAAAGTGGCAGAAATGACTTCTCCTCCACCTCAATGTCTGGCTTCCCATCTTATGTCAGCTGGAGACACTAGCCTGAGCAAGGACGGACGTGTGGCCACGACCCCATCTAATCACCTTCCCCCACAGGCCAGCCGTTCCCTCCTCAGCTTCTTCTGCCCAATGGCTTCACCATCCCCACACCTACCCCCACCCCCCGCCCCTGCCACACAAACTGGAAACCTCTAGTTGGCCTCAACTTTGCTTCTCCTTGCCCCCAACACCCTGCCCATCTCTCCTCCCCCCATCTCCGGACACCTTCCTCATCCCGGCCCCCTACCCTCCATCCTGGGAGCGGGGCCCCTCTCACCTTCTCTGCAGCACTTGCCAGTGGCCGTAGGTCTACACCATGTGCAAGCTCTTCGATGACCCCAGGGGTGAGGTGACCAGTGCACCACCGGATCCTAGAAGGGGAACCAAGGGAGCAGACGATCCTGAGCTGCTCAAGCCCCAGAGAAGGCTGCAAAATACTCTGCCCTTCTCCAGCTGAGTTCCCCACCCCACCCACCTCAGCCTCTTCTCCCTGATCCCGCCCTCGGCACCGCTACCTCCCTGACATCCCATGGTCTCAGGTGCTCTGGGAAAGGCTCGGCAACCTCTGGATCTGGGACGCAAAGGGCTTCACTGGCTCTAAGTAAGTGCAGTCGCTCACTCGTGTCCGACTCTTTGCGACCCTGTGGACTGTAGCCCAGCAGGCTCTTCTATCCATGGGATTCTCCAGGCAAGAACACCGGAGTGGGTTGCCATTTCCTTCTCCACTGGCTCTAGACTTCTCCAAATAAAACAGCCACAAGGCCAGCAAACCTCTGTGTCACTAACCATGGCCGCGCCCCACAGCAAAACCTCCAGCTTGTAAGGTCTACCAAGGCTCTGCCTGCTCATGCTGATCAGAGTCCCTCTTCCCGGGAGGCAAGATGGAAGAAAGGGAAAAACGGGGAAGGACTGAAAGCTCCTTTCTGCCACACCTCACAAGCTTCTTATTTCAAATCTTCTGTGACTTCCTGTCACCCATGGAACAGAGTCTAAATTTTCAATCTAGCTCCCCCAAACTTTTCTAGCTGTACCCCTCTCACTTTCCCCTGACCCTCCCACATCCCCTGGTTAAGTCCAGACTCTGGACTCAATACCAGTAACGGAGAAATGACTGAAATATTGTTCATGAGGCTTTTGCTCTTATTGATAATCATTTTTATTTGGGCAGGTCTTTTTCTTTATGTGACTTTTATTTAAATATAACACACACCATAATAATGCACAAATTTAAAACAGTGAATTTTCACCAAGTAAAGGCATCCATGTGACCACCGGTCAGATGAAGGACAGAACAGGACCAGATCCCAAAGCCCTCTCATGTCTCTTTTCGGTAACCACTCCCCCGACTTGTAACACCAAAGCTCAGTGTGCCTGTTACTGAACTTCACGCACTTGAGTTCACACAACAGGGAGGTACATTAGTCATCTCAGGCTGCCATAAAACTAGCCTGGAGGCTCACACAACAGAAATGTATTTCCCACATTTCCAGAGCCTGGGAGTCTGAGATGCAGGTGCCAGCATGGTGGGCTCTGGTGAGGACTCTTTCCATGACACGCAGACGGCCACCTTTTCTGCTGTATAGTCACATGGTAGAGAAAGAGAGCAAGCTCTCTGGTCTCGTCTTGCCAGGACACTAACCCCATCAGGAGCTCTAGCCTCAGGACCTCACCGAATACTAATCACCTCCTCAAGGTCCCACCTCAAATATCATCACATTAGCAAGGCTGGGGCTTTCATGATTTGGATCTCATTAGTGTCTGGCTTCTTCTATTTAATATTACATTTGTAAGAATTATCCCTGGCATCTCAACTTCATCCATCTTTAACACTTCCCGGCATTCCACTGTAGGAATGTTCTGTGATGTATTCAACCATTCTCCTCTTCATGGACTCTAAAATTGTTTCCTATTTTTTGCAATTACAAAAAAAAAATGTAATTTTTAAAAACTCCTTGTACATATGCCTGGATGAACATATTTCCACAGAGTAAACTGATTAGGAACAGAATTGCTCTAACTATTCCATTTCTCAGACAGGGAAATGAGCTGCTGGGGCTCAGGGGGGAAACATGAACACCCCAGAGTTTCAGTGGGTGACCTCTCCAAGGTCACAGTGAGTGGCTTCCCCAAGGTTACAGGGAAGGCGTGGCAGAGGCAGTGCCAACGTATGCCTCCAGAGCCTGGGAGTCGGAGATGCAGGTGCCAGCATGGTGGGCTCTGGTGAGGACTCTTTCCATGACATGCAGACGGCCACCTTTTCTGCTGTATAGTCACATGGTAGAGAAAGAGAGCAAGCTCTCTGGTCTCGTCTTGCCAGGACACTAACCCCATCAGGAGCTCTAGCCTCATGACCTCACCGAATACTAATCACCTCCTCAAGGTCCCACCTCAAATATCATCACATTAGCAAGGCTGGGGCTTTCATGATTTGGATCTCATTAGTGTCTGGCTTCTTCTATTTAATATTACATTTGTAAGAATTATCCCTGGCATCTCAACTTCATCCATCTTTAACACTTCCCGGCATTCCACTGTAGGAATGTTCTGTGATGTATTCAACCATTCTCCTCTTCATGGACTCTAAAATTGTTTCCTATTTTTTGCAATTACAAAAAAAAAATGTAATTTTTAAAAACTCCTTGTACATATGCCTGGATGAACATATTTCCACAGAGTAAACTGATTAGGAACAGAATTGCTCTAACTATTCCATTTCTCAGACAGGGAAATGAGCTGCTGGGGCTCAGGGGGGAAACATGAACACCCCAGAGTTTCAGTGGGTGACCTCTCCAAGGTCACAGTGAGTGGCTTCCCCAAGGTTACAGGGAAGGCGTGGCAGAGGCAGTGCCAACGTATGCCTCCTTGACCTCCCATACCTGCCCCGAGAGTCCGCACTATCTTTACTTCATTTCACTGAAAATATTCACTTGGACTTGGTTATGCACACAAACTTCGTGGAATCCCAAATCATGCCTCAGGCCAGTTTTCTGATTGACATTTGGAGCTGACGGTGCAGAGAGAAAACACTGCTGTTCCTTTGTTCAGAGAAAATTGGGCCATCTGATGATACAGCCTCATAACCATCCAGCATTTGTTCAACTTAACGCTTGAGAGTTTCTAAAGCACAAGACTTGGATCCCTGATTAACGGTGCAGGTGGGAGAGGCAAACAGACACAGACAGAGATTCTGAAAGTACACTCTTGTTTTTTTTCAAGTTCAGGACATTGGGGGATTTTTCAGATTTCTCCACTTTTTTCCTTCCCTTGGTACCATCATGGAACACGGGAAATTGAATTTTCAAAGGCTGTTTTTCTAACTAAACATAAACCTGTGCCATTACAAAAAACAGGTTTGTTGGGTTTTTTTTTTAATAATAATTTGTGCCCCATTTCAGCAATGGTAAAAAGAATAAAATTTTAAGAGAGAGAAAGCCTGAATAAGTACAAATGTCAAACCTTGATCACAACTCAAAAGGCTTTCATATTCAGGCTCAGAATTGAGAAACTCACATCTCTGGCAATACACACCCTCCCCCTTTCTCATCTCCAAAGGCTCATTTCCCATCAACAAGTCTAACAGGAAAGGGAACAAAAGGTCTGGCCCAGGACAAATGTTAGCATTTATTCCAACAGCACCTGGGAAACCTCTTGGAACTCACTGCCACCATTCCTGTCCAGAATCCAGGGTTCCTCTGTTCAGGTAGCTGGGCTGCTGCTCAATTTTCCCCCCATTCTCTGGGAAGACACAATTCCAAAGCTTCCAAGGAAAATGAAGCAGTTCTGGGAGCTGTGGAATGGTACATACAGACCAAGGGGTCAAGGAGTGTCCTTCGGAAAATGAGGGGAATCGGGGGATGCAAAGAGCCGGCCCCTGATGATTTTGCCATCCTCCGCCTCCTCACAAGAGCAAAATCAAGTATTAATAGATGAACCAAAATCTGGATCTGAACTTTAAACATGACCCCAGCAGGTTCTGCTATCCTGCTATGAGCTTTAGTTTCTTTGCTTGTGAGGTGAGGCTTGGGGCTCATCCAGGGAAAGGGGAAATTTCCCTCTCTCTAAAAATGTATTTTACAGATTAGAGGCAGGAGAGAAATAAAAAAGACTGATCAAGTTGAAGTCTGATTCACAGCATCTCTGGGACCACAGTGCACAAAATCTGCTTGATGACGGATCATTTGAATTCCCAAATTCTCAGCTCCCCTGGACCAGCAACAGGCAGCCAGTGCTTCTCCACGGTGATCACACCCCCACATGCCCCTGCCTGTGAGGAACTAATGTGGCAAAAAAAAAAGAGTGAGGGCCAGGCACCTCACATGCATCGGCACAGTGAGTCCTCGCTGCAACCTAGTGAAGTGGGAACTACTGCTACCCCCATTGTAGAGATGAGGAAACTGAAGCCCAAGGAAGAAACTGACTTGGCCAAGTCCTACAGGTGAGAAGTGGCAGAGTATGGGTTTCTCTGACTCTCATAACCTTCTTATTCATAAAATTTATCATCCTTACATCCAATACAATTAACACTGTAATTCCTTCCCCCCTTATCAAGACTCCTTGGTATAGGGTAATGGATCTCCACATCTCTAACCCTGGACTCAGTAAGTATTCATTGAATCGGTGCATGGACAGATGGGTGGGTGAGTGGGTGAATGATAGGTGAATGGGTTGATGGGCAGATGAGTAGATAAATGGATGAGTGGATGGACAGACTGGATGGGTGTGTAGATGGATGAATGGGTACAAGGATGGGTGGGTAGATGGATGGGTAGATGGACAGATGGGTAGAAGGATGGGTGGATGGATGGATAGGTAGATGGATGGTTGGGTGGGTAGGTGGATGGATAGATGAATGGATAGGTGGGTGGACAGTGGGTAGTTGAGTAGATGGACAGATGGGTGGGTGGATGAACAGATGGATGAGCAGAGAGACAGATGGGTGGGTAGATGGAAGAATAGATGGGTAGATGGATGGATGGATAGGTATATAGATGGATGGATGGATGGATAGATGGGTGGTTAGATAGACAGATGAGTGAATGGATGAACAATGCACAGGTAGATGGAAGGATGGATGGACAGATGGATGGATAAATAGATGAATACTTGACCCTGACACAGTAAGAAATCATTGAAGGTTTGAGGGCAGAGGAGTAATGTAAAGTGACATAAAGAAACGTAAGATTCAGCCCCTACCCTCAAGGAGACTTCAGTCCAGTTGGAGAGACACGGCATGGACACTTGAAATGTCTCTTACCACTAAGAAGTCACTCCCCCTGAGGTGGCCCATATTTACAGAGAGTGGCTATGACAGGAGGTCAAATGGAAGGGAACCCATGTGAACGAGGTCAGAAAAGGCTGCCTGAAAGAGGGGAGACTGGAGCCGTATACTGAAGGGTGAGAAGAAGTAGATGGATGGGAAGGGGGAACAAAGGCAGACGCCAAAGACCATGCTGCTACATCTATTCCAGGTGTCTGTCTGAGGGCAGAACATTCTGCTACATCCTACCAGGAAGTGGATACAGAAAGAAGGGAAGGGTCGGGGAGGAAGGAAAGGAAAATGAGAAAAGAAAGAGGAAGAGAAAAAAAGGTTATGAGGAAGTAGAAAAGAGAAGCGGGAGGGAGAAAGACAAGCCTTCTCTAGACTTTTCTGGGGTAACCTGAAGACTCAGCTCTGTCGGTTTCTGACCCGGGTCCCCCAACCCCAGTTCACTGGAGATTCAGCCACGATGACTTGCACACCCTCAGTGTGGGGCAGTCTTGGCTGATATCAACATGTTGCTGTCACTTGCTACAGCTTTCCATCTTCTGTGTTCTCACAGCCCTACACAGCCAGGAGCACAAGCATTATTTTCTCCATAAAAACTTCAAGGCACGAAGGAGCCACTGATGTGAGGTCTGGGTCAGGGGCAGACCAGGATGAGGACTAGCTCCCCAGCTCCTCCCCGTTCTCACCCCCCAGCAGTGAGGGCCGGCAACCAGGGAGCTGAGAGAGGCACTCACCATGCAGCCCAGCCAGCAGCCTGGGGTCACACCGCTTCCTATCCGGTTAACCCTGGGCAAGTGATATTTAACTTCCCTGAGCTTTGGTTTCCACATCAGAAAAATGGGGGCTATACCCCATAGAGATATTACAGTATACCCCTATGATATCATAAGATAAGAAATGATGCTTGGAAAGTCTGAGACCCAGCAGAACTTCGATAACTTGAAGGCATTACTATCTACAGCAGTACTGCTTTGATTCATATTAGATTAGGTGATATCTAATCTATTTCTACTGCCTTTTGCCTAATGTCTTCAGAATCTCTCTAAGTGAGAATCCTGGTCTCCTAGTTCCTGGCTGAGAGAAGGTGGGGGTGGGCCACTCTGGGACTTTCTAGAACACCTGCCTCCCTGCCAGGGAAACTGGTCCCCAAGGGGCCCACTGACGCCTGCAGGAGACCAGCCGGCCTGCGCTGGCGACTGGTTCGCGCCATCGGGCTGGGTGGGGCTGGCCTGCGAACTGCGTGATGCATTCTTGGGCCCCCCAAGGTAAAAATAGTTTTGTTTTTCTAGGCTGGGTGGTTACACACTCTTTGGCCTGGCAGCCTGCCCGCTGGAAAGGCAAATGCCAGACTATTTCAGGCTGTAAAAACAAGCTCCTGCCAGGTCCCAGGGTCAAGCCCCCAGATAGTGGTAATAATAGTCCACTAGCTAATTCTTTCAGGCCAGAAAAAAAAAAAAAAAGAGTTCTATGGCTGCATGATTCCTCCTTCTGTTATCTACAATCATAACAGCCAAAACCACTGCAGACAATGTGTATGATTGTCAAAGCTAGTTCCCCAAACAAAGCAAAGCACAGGAAGGAAGGCTGCAGCAGGAATCATCATCTTCATCACCTTCCAGCACTTTCCACAGACAAAGCATTGTGACGGGCATGTTGCTTTCATTCTATCATTCTTTCACAGCAGCCCTAGGGGTAGCTATTACATGTCCCATTTTCTAGAACAGGAAACTGAGGCTTGGAGAAGAGAAGGAACTTCTCACAAGGTCACGCAGTGAATAATCCAGTAAGGCTGGATTCAGGTCTGCCTGACTTTGAAATTGACACTCCTTCCTCCAGCCTGACTTTCATTGGTGTTCTTTAAGTAAGAAACTGCACTGGGACATTTTCAATGGCTTTCTGGTGCCTCTGAGATAAATTCCAAATTCCTTAGTTCAAGACCGTAGGAAGGCTGACTCCTCCTACCTTGCAGTCTCCATGTTTCCCCCAAATTCACATGTTGAAATCTGAAACCCCCAATGTGATAGTGACTGCAAAGCAATTAGGTCATGAAGATGGAGCCCCCTGATGGGATCAGTCCCCTAACAGGAACCACCAAAGAACCTCTTCTTCCTAGTGAGGACACAGCCAGGAAGAGGGCCTCACTAGGCACCAGATGGGCCAGTGCCTTGATCTTAGACTTCCCAGCTTCCGGAACTGAGAGAAATAAACGTTGGTTGTTGAAGCCACCCAGTCTCCAGCATTCTGTCCTAGCAGCCTGAGTTAAGACACCATCCTACACTGCCCAGCTCCAGCTCTACCTCCTCCAGGCAGCCTTCCATGATTTCTCCCAGCCCAGAGCAGGGTGAGCATCTCCTGTCTGACACCTGTCAGAGCCACTGTGTGTGTGGCAGGCACCTCTGCAGAGGTGGTCTTTGACAGTTAGAGATATCACATGCCCATATGCTGTCTTCCCAGGGAGAAGGCAGAGGTTGCATCTGTGCTTCTGTTCCTATCACTCCCCTGTCCCCAAACCTTCAATGACATAGGGTTATATTCACCCCTCTGTCCACACATCATCTGTCTATACACTTCTTCATTCACTCAGCAAACATGCATTGCATGCACTGTGAGAGAAATGGAAATCAACTAAACACCTACAGCTGGGGGTGGTAGGGGAGGTGGCAGATGAAGTGCAGCCGATCAAGGCCATGGACTGGGGGAGTAGAGGGGTCCTGGGAGTCTTTCCAGGGATGGGGTCACCTGAGTGGACTTTACAGGAAGAATGGAGGTTTATTAGGTAAAACTAGGAGACCATTCTTGGTCAGGTCTCATGACACTCCCTCCGTGATGGGGCCTAACATCCTTGTCCCCATCAGCCGCTCTATCAGTCATGTCCCAAGAGGGAGATTGGCTCACTCAAGTCAGGTTAGGAAGAAGTGTGTGTTCCCATGGGGGTGACTATTCACAGGGGGTAGGGGGGGAGCCACATGGTCAGTGTGGTTACCTGGCTAGTTGCTGTGGAGCTGGAACCACCCACGAGGTTAGAAAGGGTGAGGACAGACAGGGTTTAGAGGAAACCATGAGCACAGAGTTGGGTAGAAGCCTCAGGAACAGTGACTTTGTGCCAGGAAGATCCATACCCTAGACCTCACTCTCCTTTCACTGCCTGACCTCCCACTGGTACCTCCTGTCAGCAACTCTGCCAGAGAAAAGGAACCGGCCAGTCTCCCAGGCAGACAGCAGGATGGAGAAAGGTGACTTCAGAATGGCAGAGGAAGCTGTCCAGTCCAGCCATTCCTGATGGCCACACTGGGTCCCCTGAACTCNCCTGACCTCCCACTGGTACCTCCTGTCAGCAACTCTGCCAGAGAAAAGGAACCGGCCAGTCTCCCAGGCAGACAGCAGGATGGAGAAAGGTGACTTCAGAATGGCAGAGGAAGCTGTCCAGTCCAGCCATTCCTGATGGCCACACTGGGTCCCCTGAACTCACCTTGGCTTTCATACCCAATTCCTTTGCTCACTCTGTTCCCTCTGCCCAGAACTCCCTTGCCCAGCTTCTGAGCCCATCAAGATCCTCTGCCTCCTTTAAACCACACCCACAGGCTGTATTCTCTGAAAGTCTTTTCTTTTCCTACTCAGAAAGCATCCACCTTTTTAATGCTTGTGTTATACTCTCAGGGGTCTTTTTCCCTCCATCCCTTTTAAGGGCAGGAGCTGAGGATGATTTGTCTTTAAAATTCTGAAGGCGAGGGTGGGATGTTTCGAGAGAACAGCATTGAAACATGTATATTATCTATAGTGAAACAGATCACCAGCCCAGGTTGGATGCATAAGACAAGTGCTCGGGCCTGGTGCACTGGGAAGACCCAGAGGGATCGGGTAGAAAGGGAGGTGGGAGGGGGGATCGGGATGGGGAATACATGTAAATCCATGGCTGATTCATGTCAATGTATGACAAAACCCACTACAATACCGTAAAGTAATTAGCCTCCAACTAATAAAAATAAATGAAAAAAACAAAAAAACAAACTCCGAACCTTTGCCTCCTCTAAGTCATAACCTAGAATACCTCAAAACCCGTGAAAGGCCTGAGATGTGCCTACTTACCAACTCACTAGTTAGCCTGACATTTTCATGGATGCTGCCAGAAGACAGGAGACTCCTGCATCAGAGACACAGAATTTCATCACTCACAGCAGTAGTGTAGCATTTTTGCCCCAGTTTCCTAAGCCCCAGTCCCCACGTGTTGTGCCATGCCAAGTCACTTCAACTGTGTCTGACTCTTTGTGACCCCAAGGACTTTAATTCATCAGGCTCCTCTGTCCATGAGGATTCCCCAGGCAAGAATACTCGAGTGGGTTGCCATTTCTTCCTCCAGGGGATCTTCCTGATCCAGGGATCGAATCTGAGTTTCCCACATTGCAAGCAGATTCTTTACCATCTGAGCCCCCAGGGAAGCTCCAGTCCCCATAGGACCACATAAACAGAAGCATGTGAACACCTGTACACACAGTGGGTTGCATCACAGGAGAACAACACTGAGCTATGGAAACCCAAATATTTTACAGTGGGCAGTAAGCTCTCTGTTCCAGAGGAAGACTCTCTTCTAGCGAGGATGTATGCTCTACAAACATCCTGGTAAAGATAGTCCAGAAAACAAGACCAAAGGGGAAGCACCAGCCACAGGGAAACATCAGAGGCCCAAAGAGAACCATCCCGCAACAGAACCTAAGAGGCATGCCCTGACTGTGATATGCCCAACCCTGGCGCCACTCTGCCTTCCGGATGGCAGACATCAGGACTGAGCACCATCAGAGCCCTGACGTGGTCCCTCCTTGAGGGATGCCTTGCAGGGGATAGCAGGACCCACAGTGACATTACTAAGAGAAACTGTGAAGGAGCTGATGGGTAATAAAGAAACTTACTGCTTCCCCCAAGCTCATGGGCCCTTAGCCATGCATGGGCATGAGAAAGGGAGGCAGGATCAAGGAGAAGGAAGAGAGCAGGCTGGGTCCAGTCCCGCCTCTTACTAGCTGGTGGCTATGGCAAGGCACAGAATTCTCTTCTGAGCCTCATTTTCCCCATCCGTAAAAGGGGTAGAACAGGAACTAGTTCACATGGTGGTCAGAAGGATGAAATTACTTTATTCCTAGGAAGTACTCAGGCCAACACATAAATAGTAAGTACTATGTGTGTTAGTGAAACAGAAAAGACAACAGAAATGCAGACAGAGGAGGAAGCTGGGCACAGGGGCCAGACTGCCTGGCTCTGCTCTGGAACAGGAAGCAGAGTCTTAGCTGTGACGTGAAAGGCAAAGAACACCATTATCCACCAATCTTCTTCCCCTGATCGGGGCTCAGGTGAATGTAACTTCTTACATGACCGACCCTGGTCTCTGACCGCATCTTCATTCATAGATGGGATGTGATGACATCCATGTGGTTGATGGTGGATGGCACCGGCTCCATTTCTTGAAACAAATTACTACCTGCTGGAAAACAGAAATGAATAAATCCTGTTATGATCTTTTCAAATGCTAAATAAGCACTGTGCTACTATTCCTATTCTCATTTAGAAATTGACTTGCTCTCTTCAGCAGCCAACCTTTCAGGACCAAATCATTGGAAGATCATAATGGCATGAAGGAAAACATCCATTGCCACAAACTGAGCATACTAACAAGCTAACTGGGCCCAGAGCTGGGGCTTTGCACGCATTTCCTGTCTGATACTCACCATAATGCCCAGGACGGCCAAATGATCATTATCCCCAGGTGACAGATCACAAAGCTAAAGCTCATGGTGGTGAAGTAACTTGAACTCAAGTTCTAAGCTCAGATGGGAAGCCAGGCTGACCAGACACCACCACACTGCATTATGCTGCTACAAGCAGCCTTGGGGGTCACCTCTCCCCGCGCTTCTGACTACAGAACAGCAGGTGTCCTGCAGACTGGCAATGCCACCTGCTGAGCTGGAAAAGTGCCTGCAACCAAAACTCTTAACTCTGGGTCCAGACTTCTGTCCACCACCTTCCCTTCATTCTTTGTCCTCTGATAGCTTCATTGGTTAAGTTGTGAGAAATAAACAGAAAACAACATAAAAGGCAGAGAAAATTAAGAAGGTCAGGTGGAGCAGGAACCACAGCAGTGTGGCTGGAAAGGCAATTTCCAGTTCAGTCAAGTCCAAGAATTTCACGGTCGATCTGAGCAGGGATGTCCGCCAGGGGGCGGTATGAACCTGTTCAGTGATAAGAGCCTCCCTCCAAAGTTAACAGGGATGTCCACAACTTAACAAGTGTTTCCCAAGGATGGGGTCCCTGTGAGTACCACTGGGACAGATGAGGTAACTATAAGAGGCACACAGATGAACTCCTTAAAAAAATGTAATAATTATGCATCTTCTAAGAAAACTTTGCTCTCTTTTAAATATACTTGACAAAGGAAGAATTTGCTTTCTGTCTGAAGCATCAATATTTTCTTAGATTAGAAAGTGAGAGGTTCTTTGGTTCTTTAGCTTCCAAAATACAGCTTCTAAAAGAAGAAAGTGAAGAATCAGATTATGTCATAAGTTCTTCTGCTTCTGTTAATGCTAAGTGTCTGCTGCTGATCGGGATGTCCAGCTGGAGGTTCTTAGCAGGTCATGGAGCCCCATGGCTGCTGCCAGCCAGAAAGTTCTCAAGACCAGCGACTCCGCAAGGTGAGAGGGATGGAGAGCCCACGTGGTTGCTCTGCAGCTTCTAGAAAACGAAACGAGGCAGACAGGCATGAAGGAAGACACACCTTCCAAGAGCCGCACATTGTTCTTGGCAATTTCAGGTCATGAAATGCTTGTCCCTTGAGAGCAGGCCACCATGTCACACAACTCCTGGGTCATGATTTCCCATCACAGTCTTCATGAACTGAGGTGTCCCTTTGCCCTGGAGTTGTGTAAAGCCCAGCCATACTTGGCGGTCCTGATTATAAGCATTCATTCATCCATACATTCATTCATTAAACAGTATTTCTGAGAAACTGCTTTTTGTCAGATGCTATGGTTGGCCCTGTTTTAAAAAACATAGAGCCAAAAGTGCTAAGTGTCAGGGGTGAGAGCGTGGGGGAAAGAGGGGCATAATTTTGAATTGAGTTAATGCATCCCATTTTGAGAAACCAAACTTTCCCATTTCACGGATAAGGAAACTGAGATTTTCAGAAGCAATCTGCACAGTGACAGTGACACACCCAGAAAACAGCAGAGCCTGGGTATTGCCCAAGCATGCTGGCTCCTCCCCATGCTGTGGCCTCTGACCCAGGCTGCCCTCCCCTGACCCACAACGTCTCTAACCTGCTGGAAAAAGCCAAGATCAATGCTCCCACCTCACAGAAAAGCAAATTAAGGCACTCAGAAGACAACCTGGACAGGTTATCAAGATCAGCATCCATCCAACTCCGAAACATTTCTCAAGAAAGACATCTTCCAGATCCTAGAAGTCTTTTCTGGATGTGAAGCATAAAAACACCGAATTTGGATTCTCCCTGGCTTCTAGCACCTGCAGACCCACCTTTACAAATGCCTCCCCTAAGAAGCGCCCCACACATGCAGATCCCTGCCACCTACACGTCTCCTCTCCCCACTCCTTCTCTGACAGATTTTCTGCTCCACATTCAACTGAGAAAATCCTTCTGTGTCAATGCCCTGGACCATTTATTGTCAAAAGGGTGAGACACTAACTGCAAGCACTTCAGTTTGGGTGCATTTCAGTTGCTACAACAGGAAGAGGAAAAAAGGAAGAGGAAGAAAGATGAATGAGAAAAAGGCACTGGAGAGGAGGGAAGATGATGAAGATGAAGGAAAGGAGGAGGTGAAGGAAGAGGGGGAATACAGGAAGAGGAGCAAAAGAAGCAAGAGGGAGTGGAGAGAAAGGATGTCCTGCTAATAAAGACCACAGTCATGTCTCAATCTCCCATCCTAAGGATCCAGAACAGCTAGATATGACCATGTCCAGCAATGTCCATTCAAATAGGAGGCTTTTCACTCTGCAGTTTCCATCCCTCAAGACTTGGCCTGAAATTGAAGTTTAATGCAACTTCTACAACATCCCCCAATTAAAAGGAAAGCCATTCTGACTTAGATAAAAATTTTAGCTAAGAAGCAAAAACAAAAAAAGAATCTTACTCTCAAAGAATGTCAGAAAAAGGGCAAGACCACAGTGATCTCTATGGGAATCTCAGATTCCAACCCATGCACACCTTTCCATTAAATACCTCCCCCAAAACCCCCAAACACCTGCTTTCTTTACTTAAAATCTCTAAACAGATTATATATTATTACTAAAAACAAACCAAGGCTATGGCAAATTTAGATCAAAATTATTTTTCCCTAAAAGGTAAATTGAACCTTAATTTTATTCACATGCTACCAATCTGCTTGCTTGCCCCAGCTTTCCTCTCTTAGGTCAATAGTGGCAGCTAAAACATCACCAACATTCATTTCAACATCAAGGCTGTTGCATGCCACTTTTTTATATTGACAAGAAAAGGGGAAATAATGTACAACAAATGCTGACTTGTTTCCAGAAAATGAGAGAGAATATTTACCTTACCACCCAAAGTCATTTGAGGTGGATATATGTTGTCTTTGCTACTAAGTCGAGCTTGAGTTCCAGTTATACCTCTGGGAGATCTGACAAAGAATGAATGCTGCTGAGAAAGGGGTTCCTTACAGAGTTTCAAATATGCTCTTCAGCCACAATATCAGAAAAAATGTGTTCAGTTGGCCCTTCATATCTGCAAGTTTTGCATCCACAGATTCAACCAACCAAAGATCGAAAGAAAATTTTCAATTCTAGAAAGTTCCAAAAAGCAAAACTTGAATTTTTCACACACTAGCAACTCTTCTCATAGCTTTTACATTGTATTAGATACTGTAACTAAGCTAGAGATGATTAAAAAGATGACTTATAGGAGGATGTGCATATGTTATATGCAAATATTATGCCATTTTATATAAGGGACTTGAGCATCTGTGCATTTTGGTATTGGTCAGGGATCCTGGAATGAGCCCCTTAGAGGTATTGAGTCACAAATGTATAAACTGAAATTCAAGTTTGAAAAAGTCTTTCCCTAGGTATTCCAAAAATAGGCTGACTGTGACTTTCATTAATTTCATCGAGGTTAATCCCTTTGGCAAAAAATGAATCTTGATGTTCTGGGATCAGGGCTCAAATCTTCACACAAAAAGGTAAGAGATAATCTGATGTTTTAACAAACTCCTTTTCGCCAACTGGCTACCTGGACAGCCAGACTGAAGCTGCCCTCACAGAATTTTCCACTCACATACTGGGCAGTGTTTAAACATCCTAAAATACAAATTTCCCTTGGATTTTTGTCCCAAATGCTGATCTTGAAACTAGCATTGCTGAAATGGCATCAACAGACACCAAATCTTATTTATTTTTTCTAGCTAAGCTCATTACCTCAAAGAATTCTGGCAATGCTTCAGAGAGACTGCCAATGTAAGGGGTGTCTCCAGCGCTAAGGACCATAGCACAGCATGCATAAACAAGCAACAAGAACAATTTCCCTTTACTGGTTATGAATTAACCTGAAATGCTATTTCCTCTATGAAGTCCTCTTTTCAGCCTTTAACCATTAAAATCAGACAAAACAATACCCTGGAATTTATTTGTAATTTTTTTCTCCAAATTAAGAAACACTCTGGCAACACTCAGGATTCATGGTTTTCGTGATTCTCTTCAACAACATTAAGTTCTTGTCATTCTCTGTTTACATTTTTAAAAAACTATTTCAGTTATTTATAAACTAGGTAAATTCCTGATTCTATATTCTAGTACAATAGCAGAAGAGAACTGTGCCCTATTAAAAAAAAAAAAGGGAAGAAAAAATTCCATCCAGACCTGTTACAGGTTTGCTTGAGTAACTCTAATAAAGCTGAGCTGCTAATGGCTGGTCTCAGCATCCTCTCCCATTCAAATAGAACACTGGGTCAACATAATAGAAAGCAGTTGAAAAGCAATTTTAATTATCTGTACTTTGCTGTACTGTTTAATTTATAAAAATAGTATATCATGTCAAGAGGACACAAGAGGTCCTGAAATATTAACACTAGTGAGGTAAGATGAAGGAGAAACAGGATATTCAGTAACCTCAGAGAATCCCCCCTCCAACTATTTACTATTTATTAAGGGAGAAACAGCAAGCTTGCAGCAGAGAAGTGGCAGATAGCACCTATCAAGGCGAACTTCAGAGGGAACAGACACACCCATATCATGTACCCCAGCAGAGCAGCTCAGCTCTGTGGCATTCTCTCCCCACACCCATCACCACCATCTGTCTAACATGAGGAAACATCAAACCTGAACTGAGGGACCTGACCAGCACTTTCCAACATGGTCAAGGTCACAGGAGACTAGTAGAGGCTGAGGACCAGTCAGCAACTGGGGACCAAGGAGGCCTGAGAACCAGAGGCAGTGCGTGATCCAGATGGGGTCCTGGAT